TTTTTGTCTGGGTGGGGGTACCTCTTGGACTTTAATGTGTACTTCTCTTTTGGTGACTTTCGAATACTGGCCACCAAACTCAAACTCCTTACTGAAATGCATTGTCACGCTTAGATCCCCTTTTCTTTCTCCCTCCTTTCGTTAAAGTACAGTTACAGCAGAAAAGGGATTGAAATGTTACACAGACGCCAAAGTAATTTGTATGAATGTATTATACACAGTTTACAAACTAATTCTTATCAAGGACAGTTACAATATTATCAGACTGATGAAGACACACGGAAAGCCACTGAAAATAAAGAAAATTTTCTGCAGTGCTCTTTGCTGTTGAAAGGCTAGCTAAAGATATCCATTTATGCAATTGCTATATTAATTTCTATAACTTTAATAAAATTTCCAAAAGAAAATAAAAGTACATAAAATAATGTAGTTGAAAGTCAATTCATAAATCTTAGCATAAAATCTCTGTTTTCCCTAATTACATAGCTCGTAAAGATTCTTTTTGGTTATTGATTTGGGTAGATCATACACATGTATGAGTCTTGATTTTGACTTTGAATTATCACAATAAAATGTTAAAACATTGAAAGACTCAACATACTTTATCCTTTTTTTAAAGACAAAACATACAGTGCTTCTCTTTGAGTCTTCTCTTCAATGCAAACACAACTCAAAATGGCCACCAATCTATAAGAGTAGTGTATTGGTATAGTACTATGATGAAAAAACTTGGCAGTAAGTTCTGACAAACATATGCCAGAAGCTTATAAAACATTGAAGAACATATTTATAAAGTATTTACAAGGCCAAAGCAAAGATGACAAAAAACCCTCACAGTGACAATCATGCATATTTAAAATACACAGAGGACTAAAAACAGGAAACTTACAACCTTGACACAAAATACTGTTATCTTTCACACTTCCTGATTTGTAGTGAAAAGATTCAACTCAGTCAAAGATAAACTAATAAAGAAAAAGGACATACTGGGTCTGAGCATTCCACATTAACAACTAAATATAAGGGAACTGAGTACATCCCAGGCACCAAAGTTCAGAGGATAGGTGGGAACAAAGAATCACTGCTGCTTTCTCTCACACACACAAACAAACACTCATCCACAGTCACACTAATCATTCACCTAATATAACAAGCGTTCTCTCTTTTTCTCTCTACAATGCTGTCCCATCATGTGCTGACAACAAAGAAAATAAAATAGGCTATCTCAAAAATAGTAAACAAGGGTGAAAGGAAAGGCAGAAACAAGATGGTAACATTGCACAATAATTGGGGTTTCACCTTCATAATGTGTCTTTTAATGTGTTTTTTTTCCTTGGTTTGAATGAGAATTGAGTTCTTAAAATTAAATCAGAAGTATGAACAATGAAGCACTACATAAACTGATTGCCCTACCAAAACAGAAAGTGCCATAATATTTCATTTCAAATATTTAAAATTTTGCTTTAGGTACATTCAGCTGATAACAAGCAACCTCTCAAACCATCTGGTTTTGGTTTGAGATACATTTTTTGTCTTTTAACTTAGGCCATGCTGGTGACTGCAGCTGTAGCATCCTAAAATTTTTTGTCTCTCATATATCCTACAGTTTGACTTGCAGAGAAGTGACCCATGCGGCGCAAGCGTCCAGCTGGAACATCAAAGACAATACAATTAGCAAATGGCAAAGACACAAATATTTAAAGGGAATAAGACAATGATGATTAAATTTTACAAAGAACACAATACTGGCTCATCAGCAGCCACAGATCTGCAATATCACAAAGCAAGTATAATTAAAAAGCCAAAAAAAGCATGAGTCAAAAGAACAACAGTAACTGAGTTTAAAAACATTGTCAAACTCAGACTCTTTCCTTCATACTTGAATGTATGTGTAGTGGTTAGTGGTACAATTATCGTTTATAATGAACTTTAATTTCAGTTGTGTGTTTGCCAGTTGGTGCAGATACATACCGTATTCATAAGGGTTTTAAGATTTTAATTAAACTATGTACTATAATTAATTATGAACACTTACTAATCAAGCGAACCTTTTGAACTTTTGTGAAATTAACTTTCATCATGCTTCAATGGGTAATTAGTGCAATCAATCCAAGAACCAATCATAAGGTAAATCAAGAAAATGTGACAAAGTTGCGCAAGACAGTCAACTTATTAAAGAAGTTTCCGCTACCACTAATGCACAGGATGTGGCACGTGATTATGAAGCCAAAACATTGGTTTCTATTGCAAAGATAAATTTTCCTTGTTTTTCCAGTGTTCAACCAGCAATATAATAGACTGATTTTAAGTATTTGTCTTACTTATACCATGTCATGTAAAGCAGAAACCTAAATTAGCACATATTTCTGGCAGTACTTAACTCGATCAGTGCCAAGCCATTTTTAAAGCAAGATAATTTGACAAAGTGGTTGTGTGGAACTGAACGACGTGAGTAATGAAAAGCATACGTTAGGAAATTATAACTTTCCTTTCTAAAGAAGTACACACAGTTACAAAATGCTCCAATATGGAAAAAGCCATTGTATTAATAAGCCAAATAAGATGAAATTTTATACTTAGGCTGACAAAATACCTATTAAATGTTTGGTCATCTGGCTATGAGCTGGATACTCCCACTCGAGATTGACGTACTGTAACAAGGGAGGAACAAACACAGTCAGATATGGAAGCATTCCAGGTTGGCTGGTATTACACAGAGAAACAAAAGTTAGGGAAATCTTTTTTTTTTCCCAACTACGTGAGTCAAGACTTGATTAGACGGATCGCAATAGTCCCCCGTAATAATACCAGCCAAATTCTTACATGCAACAATCATTTTCACCACACAAAACACACTGTTCATTGACACAGTCCGTTGCAAGTAGATAAATGAGGAGGGTCTGAAATACTTTCTAAAAGACATGCCCACATTCACATTGACATAATTTGATTTACAGCACCACCTCAACACTTTGCTCTCCAGCCCAAACTATAGCAAATTTTTGATTATGATTCTGTGTGTTATTCGTTTGATAAGCACTATTAGCTTTAAAGAATATATAGATAGATTTTAAAACATACATTGTTATTATTACTTTTTTTTTGGGGGGGGGGTCTGGTAATTATTCTCAATATCTATCATTGTTCTCTCAATGCACAAAAAGATCAGTGATTTCACAAAACTTAAATGACATTTGCTTGAAAAAAAAAACAAACTAAAAGCTACTTTTCACCAGGAAGGTAACATTTTAGGGTGCTCAATCAAGATTACAGCATAAACAATTGGTAGATTGAAAGATAGATATTTAAAATATCTCTATGTACTGTAACCTCTTATATATCCAAAGAAAGAAGAAAAAAAAGGTTGTATACCTGAATTGACATTGCACATTGCTGAAAATAACACACATTTCCAGGAGTATTTGCTAGCTTGGACTGGAGTTGAGAAATTACTGTAAGCAATGTAATGTAAGGTGGTGGCTTGTAATGTTAGTTGTTAGAAAGCATACCTGAAATAACATTTAGGAGGTGCCACAGTACAAACACAATATCATCATACTAGATTAAGATTTCATTAAATAAAGTTAAATCAGTCAATACACTGTTATACTGTAATGGATGGGTATTTTCAAGACAAGGTAAAATATGAGCACTATCAATCTCTAACCAACCATTTATCAAGTATGTATGTATCAGTCATGCAAAGAAATCTATTACAGTGCACATTAATTAAAGATGAAAGTAATAGCAAGCAGATAAGTATTTGCATCAAGCTTAATCAAAATTTTACAGACTAATTGTCCTATCTCTGTCAAACTGGCCACTGCACTGCTTACAGCCAAGGTATCATTAAATTCTCAAATAATCAGATTGATTAGCCTTCCACCCCAGACAATACTACTTGTTTGCAAAATCAATTTAAAAGTCAATTTAAAACCATTAGGTATGAAAAGGATGAAATTTGGATAGTGACCAAATTTTTTAAGTCCAGTGGTGGAGGCCAACAAACAAAAAAAAAAAACAAAAAAAAACAACTGAATGTGATTTAATAGGATGCAGTCATTTCTGTAATGATTCCAAGAAGACAGCTGTGGACAAGCTGTTATAAGACCTGTTTCATGTTGTCCGTGTTTATAGAATATTGGTTAAAAAAAAAGATATTTTGAATGAGAAAATATAAGGAGCACAATTACAGCCTGAACATTGTTCTGCATTTAGGTTCATTACAGCTGGCAACGCCTAAGGATAAGGCGGGTAATGCAAGGCGTAAGGCGAAGCAGACATTTTTAACACAGTAAACTCAACCAATACCTCAATTTACTTGATCATTTGCTTGTTTTTCCTGTGACGGTTATTAAAGAAACGGAATTGAAGTTGCAGATTGAGGTCTTTCCGTACTGCGAAAGAAAACCAAAGATGATGTGATCACTCAGCTCCACATTCCATCATTAATGCAGATGTGGCATACATAAAATTGCTGTAGTCTAAAAATTATGAGAAGTGTTTGTGGCAAAGACAAGGTGTGAATGGTGATCTGAGTTGAAGTTGGCCCCCACCACCATGACAAACAAACTGCAATGTTTGCTTTTGTTTTTAAATGAGGGATAAGCACCAAAATCAAAGCACAAAAACACTATACACTTTACACTGATATAATATGCTTAACAGTCTTAAAGTATGCAAGCATTCATACTACACAAAGAAGACTTTGGAAGCAATATTATTCTAGCAGCCAAGATACAAGTGGGGGGCATTCCAGATGAGCCACAAGTTCAATAGCACGTTCATACAAGATTGCCATTGCAGAAAATAGCTAAGACCAAAAACCAATGCAACACCTTTCATTCACAAATGTTCGTTACAAAATTTTCTTTCAATTTTCTATCTAAGTGAAAAAGACATACAACACACAAATGGTAGCACCGTGCCAAAGTATTTTGAGCTTTATCAGATTTCAACCATTCATGCTGATGAGAACACATTAGCAGCAAAACATAATTATTAATGATTATTGGGGTGAGCCTTGAGACTAAAGAATATTGAAATATTTGCAAAATCAGTCTGTTTTCTCTTAATTACAGTAAATATATGCTATTCTTATAAAGAACCCTTCACAGGCATAACTGAAATTGAACTGAATGTTTTGTTACTAAATGCTCTCACTTAATATCCAACTTAAATTTTTTATTAAGAAAACTTCCAATGAGTTCTCTAGCTAAGTAATATCACACAAAAGACGTTTCAGTTCACGCACCATGGTGATTCACTCCAGCGCCACAATAGAACCTGCAGGAGGTAATACTCGTGCAGGAGTTGGAGGTCGTCTGGTGCAGGAAAACCTACATTACAGTAGGTTTCTGTTGGTTGAAATAAGGTCCAAAAGAGTAAGGAGAGAAGAGGAGAAGGCCAAAATAAGCTAAGCTAGAAAGCTACATGCAATGTCTCATGATCTAGATTGTAAAAACACAATACACATAATCATGCACGGCAATTCACAAGTTGAATGCAACCAGACAGAAATTAACATACAATGCCTCAAATATTTAACAAACTAAAAATTAAAACTTCAGAAAAATGTGGTAACTAAAATGAACTTAAGTGTACATACTTCCCCAATACAACAGATAGTGTGTACACCTTCTTGTCAATCTTGAAACTGAAACTGTTAAACTGACATTGATACTTCGACTCAAAATGCTCAGTTTACCACTAAACATAATCTAAACAGCATATAAAACAAAACTAGCTTATGATTGTGTCCATTTCTAATTTTTACAAAGATATTCCTTAGCCATGCATTCTGCAATCTCTTAGAAATTGATACCAAAACAAGGATTATTAACGAAGATTTGCCAGACCTAGAAAGCATTAAATGAATGAGCACACAAGGGAGAAAGTAGTTAATATACCAGATCAGATACAATATGAAGACCTCATGACTTAAATGAATTTGAATTTCATAACCCTGTCAGTTGATGAAAAATGAAAGCATAGGTGCTAAACAGCAATAGAAGACAATTAAAAAAAACAAAGTTGAGAAAAAGAAGTTTGTGCACGACACGGCAAACAAGCTGTAAGAGCAGACATGCTGCAGAGCACCTAGCTAAGCAATGGTTCAGATAGGCTAAAAGGGATTTTCATCAGCAGGAGTTGAAGGAGAAAGTTCTGGAGATGAGGGGACAATACTCTCTGTATTGTCCTCATCAGTCACCAAAGTAAATGGTTGAGGGGATGGAGAAGGAGATGGAGACAGAGAGGAGATGGATTCAGGAACCTCAATTTTTTTAAGAGATGCACGAGGCAGTCGGATTGTTGCGGCACACCTTACTTCCTGAGCCTCCCTCCTCCCTGCAATGGTTAAGGCACGTTAATTTTCTTCATTAAGCAACCTATATTCTACATAGGGAAACTCAACACTGACACCAAACTGTGTTGAAGCTCTAAAGGGTAAAGCTTGATGGTTTACTTGTATTATGTGAATGACAGGTAACCAGCTTGATGTACAGAGCAGGAAGATGGACTAGCTACAATTCTTACAGCAGCAATTATTTGGGTATTAAGAGTTAACACTAAAGTAATTAAAATGATAGTGCCTTGGAAGAAAGTACTATTTTTCCAAAGAGGAATATTTTCTTGCTTGTAATGATCCATAACGCATCTCAACAACAGATGATTACAAAGAACAGAACATAACAAGAAACAATAGAAAAGGAAGGGTGGTAGGGGCCCAAGATAGATAATAATTACTGTCCTATGTCTCTAATTATTCTACAAGTCTGGTGGTGAGTGGTGACAATCTTAAGGAACACCTATAAGGAAGGGGGAAAATACATTCCAACAGTACAAAAAAGTGAGTTACTGCCCCAACAGGAGTTGCTGTGAGATAAATGAAATGATTAATTTTGTACTGAACCAATTAAAATGATATTCCACGGCTGCTCATCCAAAATCTGAAATAATTTAATTTTATGGGACAGCAACGTGAGCTCCTTCAAAAAAATGACAACTGAAACCTGAAAAGTTTTTCACTGTTCTAAAATTCACTGAAAACATTAGTTTAACCAGAGTTATTATCTACTTACTCCTATCTATGTTACGCTGAAGGTGAGATGCAACACGGTGACGAGCATCGTTGTACTCAAGATGTAGCCCAAGTCGAAGAAGCGACGGGTTTGCTTCAACGAGTTGGGTGATTTCCATTTCAATCTTGTTGCCCAATACTTGTGACCGCTGTTAACAATTTTTAAAATACAAATTTTGACTTAGAAAAATATGCTTTAATACGGCGGGTATAAGAAGGAATGAGCACAGAGTAGACACATTACCTGATTAGCAGCACGGAGCTCTTCAATGGTTCGTGATTTGAGCAGTGCCTTCACCAGTTTAACAACGACAGGTGGACTGATAAAGTTAGTTTCAATGCTGTGGAGTATATGTTCAATTAGATGCATAATTCAAGGTAATTGATATGTCACTGAGTGCTGTCTGCCCATTACTCACTTCAATACCCGAAGAGTCTGGTTTCTTTCCAAAGCATCAGCCAACTTGGATGCGACACGGTCAGTCAAACCAGTATTAGTAAGACTCAAAACCTCAAGATGCGTGTTTTCAGGCAAGGCATCGAAAAGGGTTTCAAATTTCTCATCAGAAATATTCTGTAAGCACAATCAAAAGTTGTTAAGAAGATTTCAATATTTTTAAAATAAAATATTTGGATAGATATGGGATATTACAAAAATCCAATCACCTTTATATTATTCCAGTTCAGATCTGTGAGTGTGTGGTCATCCTCCTGAACTTGTCGAATTGTTTTATCAATGTCTGTCAGATTTGGGGGCTCTGCAGGATAAGCTTTAGGTTGTGTTGACTTGGTAATACCATCCCAGCCTAGACCAATAGGCTGGCCCTTGTTCAAAAGTGAAGCATGGTATTGATCTTGGTTCATCATGGAGTGGAAGCCCAAAATAGCTAAAAAAATAAAAATACAAGAATACAAATAAAGCACTTTGTCTTAAGGAAAGTCAATAGGTCCAGCAAATTTAATAACCTTACCAGCCAAATCAATAATTTCTTCTTGAGTGGCATCATTGAGAGCATGTTCATACTCATCACCCATATCAATGGCAATTTGCTCTTCTGCATCTCGTTCTTGTTGTGATTGTTCTGGGGCAACCCACTGGAAAAACATTGCAGAGGAAATTTAGAAATAGAAACAAAGATTGTTTGACAAGGAAAGTCCCCCTCCATGCTGCAAATGAATATGTGAACTTACCTTTTTCCCACGAACAACACCAGCAACGAATGGTTTGGCCTCAGGTCGATCAGGAGTTTCCAACGCTTGCTTATTAATGTGCTCAATGAGTTTTTTACGGTCCAAAGGGCCTGTAGGTTCCTTATCACATTCGTAGCCACATCTTTGTGATGGAGGAAGTAGGTTGTCCTGCAAATGGAAGACAGGTATTATGAAATAATTGACAAATTAACATTTTTATAAAACTTTAGAGGCTTGAAATAACTGGAATTTCACATGTGCGAGTCTTTACTTACATCAGGATCAACTTCTTTTGCGAGAAGAGATATTTCCTCAGGGCTCAGTTGAGACAGCAATGTATCAACATCCAGATCATCGTAGACAGATAAATCTTTGCCGTATAACTTGGAGGCTTGGGTGGTCATGGTGGTGGTTGTGGTGCTGGATGAAGTCTGAAAAACAAAACAAAAGAAAAGAGCAGGATAAGTAAAAATCCGTAATCCGTATGATGGTCTCCAAACATTCACATGAGAAAATTACAAGAATCCAATGCATTATGGGAGGTTTACTGATAAAGCTAAATAGAATTATCAAGTAATGGTAAATAGATGGATAAGATACAGCCATGAATTTAAAAGGAAATTGAAACATTGATAGCGAAGATCTTCAAGTGGGTGAGTCATGTTTGCTCATGCCAAATCACTTCTAAATGTGAATGAAAGGATGACGGTTTTAAGTGTCAAGTTGAACATAAACGATCTGGCCATTGGTTGAAAGAACATGCTTCAGAAAAATATTTTACCCATCATTTCTAAAATATGAGAATGAATCTAAGACCCTAACCTCACTAATCATTGCCGACGAGATGGCCTCGGCTGTCAAGGCTAAGAACCAACACACTACTACATCAAACAAGCATCTCTGGTAATTTTCAGTTATCTGTTGAGCTTCTTTTATCCCGTACAAAAAAGATCTGAGACACGAACCTAAAAAGAAGCCGCAAAATACAGACTGGGCGTGTGAGCTGACACAGTTCTGCTTCAGTTGCGGATCGATGAATGCGAAACGAACGACAAGCCAAGCACAGCAGACGTTGTGTTTGCAAGAACAATTGTCACAGATCGCATTACCAAGGCGAGCCAAAATTTCTGAGGGCAACTGTGCCCATCACTTACTCTCTAACGATGCAATGAATTCCTCAATAAATCGGTGTCTATTTACGCCCACTCCTCCTTTTGGGTGTTGATTATTTCTATTTTTATTGTTATTTGTATTGAGGGGGAGGGGGCGGGGTCTAAGTATGGTCAACATATCGTACCGAAAAACTTGCCTGTTCGCTGATTAGATATTAAATGCGCATAACATATTTTTCGGTACAAGGTGATAACAAAAGTTATAATCAGACTCTTACAGTAACATACGACCCCCCTGACCCACGCTCAAATGTCATCGAAGACGACTTTCACTGCGCGCACGTTGGCGCTCTGTTCGACCAACGCTCGAGCCGCGATAGTTCAAAATCGTTTCGAGTAGGGGCCATAAACGACAAACGAGCTTGAGATCTCAAGGAAGGGAGAGCAGGGGCAGACTTTGGGTTCTTTGGTCACGACCCGTGCTGCAAATATGCAAGAAGCAGGCGAAGAGCACGGTCGCCTGGAGGGTAACAATTTTTAAAATACAAATTTTGACTTAGAAAAATATGCTTTAATACGGCGGGGATAAGAAGGAATGAGCACCGAGTAGACACATTACCTGATTAGCAGCACGGAGCTCTTCAATGGTTCGTGATTTGAGCAGTGCCTTCACCAGTTTAACAACGACAGGTGGACTGA